ATGTGCCGTCGGCTGTGGTACCGACGGAGCCCCCGGTTGAGGTCGCTGTTCCGGCCAGCTCCCCAGCTCCTCAGCTACGCCGATCGAACCGCGTGTCTCGACCGCCGGAGCGGCTCGACCTATAGGGTCAGGTGTAGCGGTGTATGTATGTGTTAGTTAAGAACTGGGGGAGGAGTTGATGTGTATGCGAGTAACCGTAGTTGCAGTTGATGTGTATGCGACTAACCGTAGTTGAGAGATGGCGGCGCCCTCTCTTGGGTTTTCAAGGAACTGGACGGACGGTCCGCGGAGCGTGTGGTCGTCGGCGCGGGGCCAAGACAATACAAGAACTTTGCGATGATTGTGATTCATTACCTAGAAAAAATGCCTTCAACGGATGATTGGTTCAGCAAATTATCGGCTGGGTGGAGAAAGTATCACGCACAAGATTCAAACATGTTTCAGGCCGTCAGCGTTGTAAATCTTTGACATTATGAAGACATTGAACAGCACATTTCGGCTTTCCACTAACCGTAGAGCGGTCCCATGGCCTCCTGCGTCTGGTACTCCTCAGCCTGGTCTTCCTCGGGCCTCTCCTGCGCTCCGCCCGTCTGTTGTCTCTGCTGCCCAGTGCTGCTGCCGTTCCCATTGCTCTGCCCGGACGGTGCCGGGGGAGCGGGTCCCTTGCTTTCCCAGACCGCCACCCGCTGTCCCACAGTACCGACACTGCGCGTGTCCACCCCGGACGGCTCTGTGGCGCCATCTGTGGCAGCCTCTGTGGCGGTGCCCGCAGTGGTGCCAGTCTCTTCCTGAGGAGTTCGTCCCCCGGCAGACTGCTGAGACTCCGCTCCGGTGGGAGCCGGACGAGCGGTGAGCTCTGGTGTCTCCTCAAGCTGTTCAACCGTTGCTGACGTCGGCTGTTGCGCTGACTGCGATGTCGTCTGTTGCGGCGAGCGCTGCTTTGCCGGATCAGTCCCGTTGCCTTGGAAGCTGTTGGCCTGAACGTTACCAGAGGGCGGGCTTCGGTTCTGAGACTCATTGGTTGACTGCTGACCGTTTTGCTGAACCGGATGATGTTGCGCTCCGTGGACGAACCCGTTGCCATGCGGACCGTTCGGTCCCGATGGTCCGTTGGTCCTCCAGTGTTCTTCGGCTGCCTGCCGGTCGCCAGGAGGGACGGGGGAGCGAGGTCGGTTCGAGGGAGCTTCTCCATCTGGACGGTAGTACGGAGAACCGTCTACAGGTAAATGCTGCTGCTGATGAGGGTGCTGATTGTAATGGTTTTGGTGGTGATTATTTTGTTGTTGAGAGTGATTCTGCTGATGCTGATATTGCTGTTGCTCCTGCTGCTGTTGCTGATAGTAGTGGTTATTATGCTGGCCCTGTTGCATCTGCTGATGCCTTTGTGCAACTTGCTGCATCTGTTGGTGATCGTAATAGTCTTTTTCCTGCTGATGCTGATGCTGATGCTGATGCTGTTGCTGATGCTGTTGCTGTTGGTGTTCCTGTTGCATCTGCTGCTGCTGCTGTGACTGGTCCTGTCGCGTCCCCCCTGCACCGCGAGAAGGTCCCTTTCTCACTGCCGCATACACTGGCTCGTCCTGCCCACCGTTCTGGCGCCACCGATCCTGTCCACCACCCCTGCCCGGTCCGTGATCGGCCTGGTAAGGCTGGAAGGCGCCGCCCTGACGGTGGAGCAGCGGCCCACCGCCAACATCAGACGGCTCCGACGGGTGCCGGCCGTTCGGGTCACCGAGGGGGCGCAGCGGACTCGGCTGGGTCACCACCGCTTCTGCGACAGGATCGTGAGGCCTTGCGAACGGCTGTTCAGGCGGTCGGTTGTGCTGCTGCAAAGGCTCGGGCGGTCGGGTGTACTGTTGCGAAGCTTCAGGCGGCCTGGAGTACTGCGAATGCTCCGGTGGTCGGGCGTACTGTTGTGGTTCGGGAGGTCGGTTGTATTGTTGGGGAGGCTCGTGGGGTCGAATTGACTGGTAATTAGGCTCCTGTGACCTTCCAGGCTGGTAGGAAGGTTCATGGTGCCGTGGTTGGCCCTGGTGATGGTCCTCATGATTGTATCCTTGCGGCAGACTCTGATGGTGCTCGTAGTTTCGCGGAAGGCTATGATCCGGTTCGCGATGGTGGTAATCCCGCGGGAGGCTCTGGTCTCGCTCTCTGGGCTCGTAGCTCCGCGGGAGGCTTCGCTCCCTCTCGCGCGGCTCGTGGGTACGAGGCAGACTCCTGTCCATCTCGTGAGACTCGCCGAAGTGATGCACCGACTGACGACGTTCGTACGCGGGTACTTCTCTTTCGTGAAGGTGCGAATAGCTCCTCCGGTGCTCGGGGACGTAACCGTGCCTTCCGCCCCGTTCCTGGTAGTACGCCCCGGCCATCTCCTGGCCGTATGACAGGCCCCGGGCGTGACGGTAGGGACCGTATCGACCTGCTGAATCTCCTGCGGAACCCAGGTCCTGCTGGCTGCGGTACTGGCGAAGGACCGCCTGCAGGCGACGTTCGCTGTCCCCTCCATCAGCTAACGCGCCGGATGCACGACGGTAGGCTTGGTAGCTAGCGGCGAGTGCTGAGCGCATGTCCTGCTGGCTGGCTGTCAGCGCTGACCGCATGTCCTGCTGACTAGCCGTTAGCGCTGATCGCATGTCCTGCTGACTGGCGCCCAACGCTGAGCGGACGTCTTGCTGACTCCCAGCGCGGTGTCGGGCCGAGCCTCCGCGCCCGTCACGGTTCCAGTCGTGTCGGCTGGGCGGATAGGCGGCCCCACCGGCGCGACCAGGCCAGTCGGCTCCACGCCACTGGTCGGCTCCGGCCGGAGGTGGAGCTGGCGGAACATACGGCGGCGGGTCGTACCCATTCGGACGTTCGTACACTGCGTCGTACGGAGAGTCGTACAGCGAGTCGTAGTCGCCAGACAGCGGGCCTGACACGCTCTTGGGGAGTCCGCGTCGGCTGCCGGGTCGCTGCTGCCGACCCGCGCCGCCTGAGTCCGGAGGAGAGGCCGTCTGTCCACCGGGACCCGGGCGGACCGCGCCGTTGGACTGGTGCTGCCGCCTGTCGGCCTGCGGGTGGTACTGGCCGCTGGGTGGCGCTGGCGGCGGCGGCGCGTGCCGGTCCAGTGGAGGGTTCATCAGACTCTGAAAACGACACAAAACCTGATCAGTAGTTGTACTGGAAGAGTTTTGTGACGGAACTGCGGGTGGGCGTCTCAACACACCTATTCTAGCATGTTCGTTTTAATAGTAGTTGGTAGGAGTATATGAAAAGTGATTTAGAATATGAGACATTCGTAGTGAAGTTCAACTCATGGCCTTCTGGCAAGTGATTAAACCTTGGTTCCGATTTCCATGCCATGTTCCGTCCATGGACGCAAAAACTAGCATCTTTTAGTTCAGCAATGCGGACATCACCAGACCATGCTATTTTTTGTCTTTGTTTGTTTTGTTGGGTTAGGCCCTTTCGGTCCAATTAGACCATTTCAGAGCCGGAAGGATGATAGGAATTAGGGGGAGACATTGGTCTGGGCAGGCATCCTAGTGAGTCACCGGGGCTGAGCCCATCCCGAAGGACAGGCCGACCAGCCCCAAGGTACTCACTGCACCCGGCTACGGGGTGCGCTCCCTCGGGAGCAGCGGTGCCGCTCCAAGGGAGCAGCCCGCATGAGATAAAGTTGCCTGTCCAGCCCGGAGGGGGTTGCGGCGTGGAGGAGAAGGATTTCCGTATCCTGAGGATAGAAGCATGGAACGGTGATGATTTTCTGTCTGGCTTCTTTTCATTGTCGTCAGGAGGTTCTGACTGAAGGACACAAATCACCCTGCCTTAAACAGCAACAGGGAGCTGACACAGAACACAAAAGGAAAGTCATGTCCGGCGATGTTTTGCGGACCGAAGGAAACGCGAACCAATCAATCGGAAATGACGTTTCACGCCGGTTCTGAACAAAACCTTGGGACCATAAATGTGCGAGAATTTCTGTTCGCTGCTGAACGCAGTCAATGGCTTCTCAAAGACCTCCCGACGTTGTTACCGCATTAAGTTAAAAATAGTTTACATTCAAGAGCTGATTTTCACATAAACTGCGCCTTTATTCTGCTTCCTTTCTGATAACTGATGTTAAAAAGCCAAAATAACCCGTAATTACTTTTAATTTAGTGCACAGAAATAAAAGTTATTTTAACCCGCGCCCTGGTGGGGGGGGGCTTTTTTTGCCCCCCCCCCCCCTCCAGACTTTTCGATATATCTCCAGAACCGCTGCGCCGATCGTCACCAAACCTTCAGTACCCTCTCGGACATCAATTTTACACATTGTGACCAATTTTTTTTCCAAAAGCTATGATATGTTGGCCGGAAATGACGTCAGAATGACGTCATGTTCTGCCGTTTTCGACCCAAAAAAGGGTTTCGCGGGAAGAGCTGTCAGGCCTATGGCTTTGCAAATACAGAAAAACGATTAAGACATAAAAGCTGTAGAATTAACAGGGATACAAAACTGCTATCTCGGATTTTTGAAATTTTTGGATTTTGACCCCCAAAAATCCAAAAATAGATGTTTTGAATATAAGAGCCGAAAAATCCAAAAAGTTTTTGGAATTTCGCAAAAACCGGGACATACGTGATAGTCGTTACCGCCTTCTATCTACATACCAAATTTGAGATTGATACCTCTTTTTTCGGCGAAGTTATAGCGAAAAAAAACTTCAAATTTGATGACGTCAAATTTTCAAACTCAATTTTTAGCAATTCTAGACCCCGTAGCGCAAAACAAAGACCACCATTAGACTCCCCGTGACGAGCTGCATCGAATCAATACCCATTTTATGCAAAACTATCAACTTTAAAATTTGACCTTTCTTGACCTGACCTTGACCTGACCTTCACCAGAAAGTGACTTAATCCGTACCTGATAGTCTTATAACCAACACCATTGAGTTGGAAATGAAAAATTGGTCATAAAACATGCATCGCACAACCTTAGTACCTAAAGTTAGGATCATGTGACCTGACCTGTGACCCTAGGTGACCTGACCTGTGAACGGACCTGGTAGTGTCAGTGACCTTTTATAGCAACATATGCACTGGGCAACTGACGCCCTATCGCTGATTCTCGACAAAATGCGTTTTCTTCGGTGTTATAGCGCATTCCCTAGATGACCCGTGAACGGTGAAACATGTCATCTTTGACCTGACCTTTGACGTCATCGGTGACCCAGAGGTCAATGAAATTTGTTTTCTTTCGACAAATTTGACAGGCCTTTCGAACGCCGTTTGAATTTTGCGGATCCGTCAAGTAGTTTCGGAGATACGAGGGGGGGGGGGCAAAAAATAGCCCCCCCCCCACCAGGTCGCGTTATAAACAGACCCCACCAGGGCGCGGGTTAACAAGTGATAGGTATACTGAGGAAGGTCTTGACGCATATATAAATTTTTCAGCTTTAGGAGCTTATCAGAATAAAATCAGTCATCTAAAGCGGCTATTTCTTCCAGTTTATCCATATGTAAGTACATTGTACACCTTGCTGTCCAGTTGGACGAAACACTAGGATCTCAGTACCTGCACGGTGCCACTCCTTCATTACCTGTTCGTCATACTGCGCCTCGTAGCCGGCCGGGAGCCGCGCGGAGCCGGCGCGGTGGAGCGGAGCCGGCTCCTCCGGGGGCCGGCGGACGGAGCCGGACCTGCGGGACTCCTCGGGACCGGGAGCGCGCCGCTCCGCCTGACGGGAGGAGAGCATCCTCTGGACGCGGCGCACCTCCGCCTCCAGGGCGCGAACCTGAGGGAGAGGGGTGGAGGTTATGCTGGACAGTGGACGCTGGGCACGCTTTAGCCGTTTCCACGACGGCCATCTGGTACACATCTGGTGCACATTTGGACTTGGTGCAGATTGGTGCAGGTTTGGTCAAATCAGTTTCAGTGTGTCTCTAACTAGCTATCAGCTAGGGTTGCACTAATTGCTTATATGCCTGCTTTGTCATATTATCAGAGAGTATCATCGATGAAAACACTGAAATAAATTCATAAAATACAGATATTTGCTGTAAAAGAAATAAGTTGCAGATTTGGTCAAATTAGGTGCACTCGCCGGATAGCCCGTCGTGAAAACGGCCTTTGTCTCTTATAGGGAGCGACCTCTGTAACCAAATGTGGGGTTACAGAGGGCAATCTCTGACGTCAGGGCAAGCACCTAGCGGCAGACGGAAAAGAGAGGGATGTCTTATCGGGGTCACGGTCTGGCTCCAGAGCACGAAATTGAGGGTAGAGAAAAGATGTAGAACGGAGTTTTTACAAGGCACGCTCGACGTCCCACGGCATGCGACTGATATGGATTACGCTTAAACCTATATGAATTAGGGGGTTGTGGAGAGTTAGCAAGGTCAAAGTAAAGCTCAAAATTGGTCAGAATAATACAGCCCAAACACACCAAAGTACGAATCCAGTCATCACCGCACCACTCAAACACGCGACCCATGTCCAAGGTCACGGTGCCGACCTCACCTCGTTACTGTAGGAGCTGCCGTGGCTGGTGGCCTTTAGCGCCGCCTGCAGTCGCTGCCGCAGAGATAGCATCTCCCTCTCCAGGCGACTGTTATCCGCCGCCGTCTCGTCCAGCGTCTGCCGACAACGAAACGAACGTCGGGGGCTACTCGACAATAGTCCACGGGACTAAGGATGGTAGGTTACAACAGTTACGGCATCAAGAAGGGACCTGTCGTCTCTTATGTCATCACTTACGCCAGTCTTATGTTACCAGCTATGGCTCGTCTCGGTCATCAGCTACCCCGGGCCTATGTCTACGTCGCTCTTGAGCTGTGTCACCATAAACTTTGACATTACCGTCACCGGCCTATGTCATTAACTATGGTTGCCTTAACTGCTTCTTTCACCATTGATTAGGCTACTATCATAGTCTATGTCATAGTTTACGAGCGATCTACGCCTCTTGTCTTATGCCATCAACATTTGCACATATACCGTGTCTATGCTATGCCAATCCAGATATGACAGCTCATGTGCCCCTCAAAAAGCCAAGATGACGGAATGAGCCTTAAGGAATTATCTAAATGAGCTTTTACGGGGATTATCAGTGCTGAGCTCTTCTGGGGATAGCGAATTAGCCCACAAAGAAGTCTGGGATAATTACGGCATCAGCATTCGTCCGCCGTTTGTTTTCGCTACCGAGAGCAAAAACAAGCTCGTCCGGGCTCGTCTCGCCGGCAGCGATTCTCCCCGCGCCGTCCGTGCCCTTGAAGGTGAGCGGCTCGTTAGTTTATGGCGGCATCGGCAGGCAATGGCTGTTCGACAGGAGCGTACCGGCGCGGCGGAGAGAGCCTCTGCAGCCCTGCACAGTGCACAGGACTGGTGCACCGTGCTCCAGTGCACAGGGCTCCATTTTGACCCTTCAGGCTCCCCGTCCGTCCCGTGCGCCGCGGCACGGGCGGACTGGTGTGTCGGGTTAAAAATGACGCGAGCCGTGCGGACCACCGCAGGGAAACTATCAAATTATAACTCCGGCGCGTGGTGGTAGCGGTTTGTCAATTAGACGGGGCCAGAGTGTGCCAGGTGACACGAAAACGGTTGGTTGGACGCGCTCCTGTCGAGAGCGATGAGCGGGTCGGGGGCAACAAACGCCCCGCGAGCACGGCACCTGCCGCCTGCAGCTCCCGGCTTCTCACGAGCTGTCCGGTGTAGCTGAGCTGTGGGCTGCGGCAGCTCGGGCTAATCTCGGCAGACCGGCCGGCCGGGCTCACCGGAGCTCAGTCGGTAACTCCGTAATGCGGTGAAAAATGGAGCGCTTTTGAAAATCCGATAACGGGAAGTACGCCGTTCAATGCATGAAGACGGGAAGTTTTAGTTCAGCTTCTACAGTGCTGCTAAACTTAAACCAACTGCTGAATAGTGCAGTGAAATGAATACGGAAGATCGAGCTGTAAAACCTGCGTTAAATATTACGGCACAGTAAATCTGTTCCGATCCATGGAGATCAATGTTTACCGCGCCGTCTGTGCGGCACAGACTGAGGCTGTGGCTGACCTTTGCGCTGGAGCTGAGCACGGCCTTGACCCTGGTGAGCTCGTCCTGGAGCGCTCTCTGCCTCTGCAGCAGCCGCTCCGAGTCTCTCACAGGTCCCTCTTCCCCCGTGACGGGCGGCCGGTCCTGCGAACACGGTCACACATGAGCGACTGCACAACCGCACATCACTTACATCAGGTTAATCAACTCGGCGACTCGCTTTTCCTGCTCACTCGCGTGAAATGATCTCAGACGACAGAGACTGAGAGCCTGTCATGTCTGGATTTAAATATACGCCTGCGGAACAGTAATCGCCACCGCTTCGAGCAGCTCCTGGCCATCACTCACAAAGTTCAATCGACCCAGCACCTGACCACGTCAGTCAATTGCAGAGCCGATGCAATTTCCGTTGGCGTTCGCTCACAGACCATAATCCTACCGCCTCATCAATCGAGGCGCGGCCTGGCGAGCGTCCGGTGGGCGTCTGGCGAGCTCCATCGGCCGGTCACAGGTCGTGACGGGACCGACACCTGGATGGGGCACGGCCTGTCGATCACCAGCCGCTCCCATTGCCGATTCAGGGCTGCCGCTGGTGGTAGTGGTCGAACGGGCCAGCCCAGGTCAGGTCGATGGACAGCGAGTAACCTTCGTGCCGATGGCGCTCGCTGACGGCCGGCGTCGGTTTGTTTCGACGGGCCAAATCACCGGTATGTGCCGACGAGTGACCGCTACTGCCGGTCGGTCAAGCGACGAACCCGTTCGCAGAAATGAGGAATTGATTGGGTGCGATACCGATATTGAGTGAGGGATGGGGGATGGGGGATATGACGGGGTGTAATGATGTGTGGAGGGGAACGGAAGTGGTAACTGCTCTGTGAGCTAGTTAATACTAAACGCGAGGTAATCATTGCCGTATGGTCGACAGTGTCGCTGACAACATTGCAATATTGCCGGGTTATGTAGGTGCCCTACAGAAGACTACTCGTGTGGCGCGCATCAGTAACAAATAACTCGAAAAACACCTCGCGTATCGAACACTTCTTCTTATTACACCGTCGTTTTCAACAGAACTCTGCTTCAAGACGCACCGAGCCGGTCAGGGGCGGCGCCACGGATTATTGCCAGGGGTGGCAGGCCGAAGTAGGGGGCCTCTTCATAAGAGGGCCTCCTCTTCGCCTCTGGGGCCTCCTCAAAAGTGAAAATTGTGGTCGTTTGTCAAAAACAGTACGTGTATCTATTATCTGCAGTTTATAATACCAATCCCGCGTATTCGGGCAAATCCACGCAGAAGTCTATATATGGCCTTGCGCAGAAGTGGCTTTTCCTTGCCTAGAGTCAATGGTAAAACAAATGATACAATGATGGGACTGCTCCACACGTTACAGACGCGGTACGAACTAACCTTGATAAAAACGATAAAAATACCTAAACAAAATATGATAAAAGTGACCATGGCAGTGCATTACTACTATACTGTCTATTTCTCACTTGCCTGATAGCATAATTGAAACGACCGATTGACATCGTACGCTGCGCATTTCAGCTGGCAGTTGGTTGTATAGCATCGGGCCATAGTACAGAAATCGGCGCCTCCCAGCCTCCGTCCTGACAGGTGGCAGTCGCAGGTCGTCACCCTGGCGAGTGCTCCGAATAGAGCACTTCACGGATAGGCTTTTTAGGATCCGGCCCGGCCCATATCCGGCAAGTCATATCCAGATCCGCCCATTATCCGCCTTTCTTTGAATATCAGAATCCGGCCCACCCATGGTCCGTATTGCAGCCAAACTTCCAAAAAATATCCGTAATAATCCGTTTCACCAATAACTGGTTTCACCCAAAACTGGACTAACAAATTCAATCTAAGGGACCAGACAGCCATACAAGTCTTGTGACAAGTGAGTGTCATAAAATGATGCCTATTGCTTTAATCAAACCTCTGCTGCCGCTTAACACATTAGTTTAATTTTTAACTTCAATGTTGAATGTTAAAATTTTGATCCGTTTTGATCCGGGTTCAACCTTCAATTCCCAAATCCGGCCCGCCCATATCCGTTCTTTTTTAACAAATTTAGAATCCAATCCTATCCGGTCCGCGGATTTATCCGTGGATAACGGATTTATCCGGCCCATGAAATGCTCTAGCTCCGAACTCGTGTATCACGGTTTGCTTGGATAAAGGATGAAAGTGACACTGGTGTATGGTATTTGATAATTTTGTGAGTAATGCAGGCGTATGATATTTGAATAGATCCTCTGCATCGAGCCATCCCAGCGCCCTCCGAACGTCTGCAGAATGGCTGAACTTCCTTCTACCTGAGACGACACGAGCGGCAAAGTTGATCAATGATCACCTTTTGAATCTTAGCAAGATTCTTCCCGCTGCCGCTGCCGTACATAGGGAGGCAATAGCGGACGCGGGAGGGAGGCAATAGCACCAGGGCGGTTACAATGGCGGGCAAGTTCTCGGCCGGAAGGTAATGACGTATGTGCGACAGGCCAATGCGGATCCCGAAGCATTTACGCGTAATTTCTTGTACATAAATGGGCGTCCCAGGAAAGATGATGATCAAAGATCACCCCCAGATTTTTGCTTCTAATACGGGTTATATTGTACGCTCGCGGAATTTCACCCCGAGAGGTGTAACGTTCCGGCCCCGCAGTTTTTGTCTACTGCCAAGAACAAGGTGAGTTTTGTCGAATTTGCGCGGAACCAAAGGTCGAGAGAAAAGAGGGCCTGCTCCATGCGCTCAGTCAGATCTGACAGGGTTGTCTTGTTGCCACAGACCATGACCTGGGTGTCGTCCGGCACCAACGGTCGCACACGAACAAGCTGAGGTTATTTGAAAAGATAGTATATAAGAGGGGACCTAGTGCCGAACTTTGGAAAACGCCTTTGTTATTCGGAAGCGCGGTTGCAATCTGCCTGTTACCAGAGACGTCAGTGAAGCTGACGCTCTGTGTGTGGTTCTGCAGAATGAAGGGATGCGGTTGCTAAAGCGCCAGGTACCCCAGGTTAATGATGCAAACGCCCACGTGCCACTAAGCTCCACTTATGAATAGGGCAATACAGGCAATACATATAAGCCCCCCCCCCTCTCCACAATTGTTTTGTCTGAACTCTCATATTATGCCGTTGCAATGAATGAAAACGGCCTGGAAAATTCGGAGCGCACTCCCTTCCCCCCACTCAACAACTTTTTTAACCATACATTGGGTATATGGAAAGATATGGGTTGAAAATTGCGGAGTGCACCTCGTCCCCCGCTCAACAACTTTTTGCCTACAGAAAGCGGCCTTGTACCAACGTTTAGCCCCCTCCCCCCTAAAAAAAAACGGAGCTCTGGATCCGCCAGTGGCACAGGGGCGTCCTTTATGGCCGCACAGTTGCCTTCTGTGTAGGAACAGGGGCAGGGTGTGGTTTTGTATAGGCCTGGTAGGGCCCGAGCCCGAACCCTACCGATGTTTATTTGGGTCCTATCAATGTTCCCTGAGCCCTGCCAATATTTTGTCAGCCATCACTTGATAACGAAGTAAAACGAAACAATAAGCAAATAAGCACATTATGTATACACTATACATCTAAGGTTCTAACCACGGTAAGCATATGTAGCTGGAAATGAGGTGTGTCCCATGGGCTCAAGTCCTTTTTGGATACCAAGATGCTCGAAAGACCAGTGGTTTTAGACGGCCCATGGCTGCCTCTGAGCGCCGCACGCCGCGCAACGGCCTCTTATAAATCCAGGTCCGTCTCCAAAACCAGCCTCTAAAGGCCCTACACCGACTTCGGAGGGTGCCGCGATGCTTCAGAATAGGCAATATTGATCTGAGAAGGTCCTATACTCTGATTCCCGAGGGTCCAGCGCCAGGTCCTTTCCGCATCAGATTACGAAAACTTAAACTTCTCATCCTTTTATTTTAGCAAGCAGGTCTCTCATCGTAATGTTTTGAGATCTCGTTAGTTGTCGAACCCTTCACTCAGCATTGGCCTTCAAAACCTTCCCTGGTCTCTTTCAGCACAACCATCCTTTTTAGTTGGCGTGGGCCTCTGTTAGAATGGCCCGTGTTCCGCTGACATAACTAATTTGCCCTTATAACTGCACGTTTTGTGCATCGGGTCCCGTGAGGGCCTAGATTTCGAAGATTAAAAAAAAGATTCTAATTTGTCTTGTCAGTGATCAAGGTGGAAAAATAAGTGGCCGAAATCCGATGAGAACGGCAGATTTGGGGATACCCTACCTTGGTGAACCCCCGTCACATATGGTCGTCCACCGCCTTGCACAGAGGATCCTGTTTGGGCACAGGGGTCCTCCTGTGTAGGCACATGGTTCTTCTGTGCGGGCATAGGGATAGGGACCTCCTGTGCGGGTACAGGGGCCTCCTATTTGGGCACAGGTACCTCCTGTGAGAGCACAAGGGCCTCCTGTGCGGGCAAAGGGGCCTCCTGTGCGGGCAAAGGGGCCTCCTGTGCGGGCAAAGAGGCCTCCTGTGCGGGCATAGGGATAGGGCCTCCTGTGCGGGCACAGGGGCCTCCTATTTGGCCACAGGGTCCTCCTGTGTGGGCTTAGAGGCCTCCTGTGCGGGAACAGGGGTCTCCTGTGGGCAAAGCCGCCTCGTATTTGGGCAGAGGGGCCTCCTGTGCGGGCACAGGGGCCTCCTTTACGGGCATAGGGATAGGGGTCTCCTGTGGGCAAAGGGGCCTCCTATTTGGGCAGAGGGGCCTCCTGTGCGCACAGGGGTCTTCTGTGGGCAAAGGAGTCTTCTATTTGGGCAAAGGAGGCCCCTGTGCCTGTGCGGGCACAGGGGCCTCCTGAGCGGGCACAGGGCCTCCTTACGGACACAGGAGCCTCCTGTGTGGGCACAGGGGCCCCTGTGCGGGCACAGGGGCCTCCTATTTGGGCAGAGGGGCCTCCTGTGCGTTCACAGGGGCCTCCTATTAAGGCACAGGGGCCTCTTGTGCGGGCACAGGGGCCTCCTGAGCATTCTGTACGGACACAAAGTCCTCCTGTGCGTGCAGAGGGGCCTCCTGCGTGAGCACAGGGGCCTTCTGTGTGGGCACAGGGGCCTCCTGTGCGGGCATAGGGATAGGGGTCCCCTGTGGGCAAAGGGGCCTCCTCTTTGGGCAAGGGGCCTCCTGTGCGGACACAGGGGCCTCCTATTTGGGCAGAAGGGCTTCCTGTGCGGGCACAGGGGCCTCCTGTGCGGGCACAGGGACCTCCTGAGCGGGCACAGGGGCATTCTGTACGGGCACAGGGTCCTCCTGTGCGGGCATAGGGCCTCCTGTGTGAGTACAGACGCCTTCTGTGTGGGCACAGGGGCCTCCTGTGCGGGCACAGGGGCCTCCTGTGCGGGCACAGGGGTCTCCTGTGGGCAAAAGGGCCTCCTGTGCGGGCATAGGGATAGGGGTCTCCTGTGGACAAAGGGGCCTCCTATTTGGGCAGAGGGGCCTCCTGTGCGGGTACAGGGACCTCCTGAGCAGACACAGAGGCCTCATGAGCGGGCACAGGGGCCTCCTGTATGGGCACAGGGGCCTCCTATGCGGGCACAGTGGTCTCCTGTGGGCAAAGGGCCTTCTATTTGGGCAGAGGGGCCTCCTGTGCGGGCCCAGGGCCCAGGGGCCTCCTGTACGGGCACAGGGGCCTCCTATGCGGGCACAGTGGTCTCCTGTGGGCAAAGGGCCTTCTATTTGGGCAGAGGGGCCTCCTGTGCGGGCCCAGGGCCCAGGGGCCTTCTGTGAGGGCGCGGATACAGGGGCCTCCTATGCGGGCACAGGGCTCCTGTGTGACGCAAAGGCCTCTTAGATAACTTCCCACGTGTAAAAGGGCCTCCTGTATGTAGTGTAGACTTAAAGGTCAAAGGGGCCTCGAATAGTTAAGACTATGCAGTAGGTATGCGAGTCTTCTTCGTCGGTGACGTTTCAAATTTGTCCCATATTTCAGGGGTGGCAATGCCACCCCTACCTCGCGGCAGGGGTGGCAGGCTGCCACCCCTGCCCCTATGGTGGCGCCGCCACTGGAGCCGGTACAGTACAAACATGCGAGAGCGCAATGGCGGTGCGATTGCTGTGCAATTGCCCGACCTCAGGTGAATTCCTATACAGCTGAACCCTCACCACTCCTTCAGACGGCAGCATCCGCCGCTGACATAACATTGCATCAGTCGCGGACGGCGGCTGTGGCGGCTGGCGGCAGTCGATAGTCGCCGCCCCGGGGCCGCTAATACCCATGGCTGCCGCCGCCGCCGGCGCGCCGCGGTCGATGCCGGCGGCCCGCCGGGCTCACCTGGCTGTCGCCGTTCTGTCCGCTGGGCGGCGCTAGTGTCGCGGCAGGAGGCTCGGACGTCTCGCCGGGGGGCGGCTGCCCACCAGCCCCGGCCCCCGGCCCGCCGCGGGAGCCCCGCAGAGAAGACAGCTTCAACATGTTGTCCACCAGGGTGATGAGAGGTCGCGTCAGCTGGTGCTGCAACAGGATCAGTAAAACATTTTTAGTTATGTTCGCCTGGGGGAAGAGGGCGTGGTAAAAAATCTAACAAAATGTAGGTAAATGCTCAGCGAGAGGAGCTGAATGCGATGGAACATGGACAAATAGCTGAAATGTATGCAAACACGTTTCCGCCTGCTTAAATGTGATGGGTCAAGAAAATCGTTCTCCGTACTTTAATCCTCTAAACGATTCATCATCATTATTGCACGATGTTTTCGCGCCCCTAATTATCTGTGCAGTGGCCGGCACCGTTTCATTCTAGTCTGACTCCATTTACGAGTGTTTTGGTGTGCTGCAGAACGCATTGGGACCGTGTCACCAGACCATTAGTGGCCATTACAGTCCCTCAGCGGCCACCGCCGCGGGGTAATTGCCATTGGCCGACATATTAGCGCTCGTTTTTTGCTCATAACGACCAATAGATGGCGTTGGCGCAGCAGGGTGACAGGAAGGAAGGCCGGCTAACACGGGTGATTAGTGCGGCCACGGGCGCGGGGTCTGGGTCAGAGGCGAAAGCAGCTCTCCGGTTCACAGTCTAATCGAATTATCACCGAGCGATATGATCCCTGCAATGGTGCGTAGGTAAACATACGCAATTTGCAGTCATGGACTTGCAAGAAATATAATTCGGGTACCTACAGAGAAACTAACTGCAAATCGATAGCCATAACTTACTGTACACATGGATTTTGTTGCAATTACCTAACTAAAGCAGCTTTATAGCTTATCCAATCCTTTCGTATGTAGTTAGGTACTGAATGGTAAGAGGACAGTGAAAAATCACCTGCAAGTCTCGGTCCCTAGTTTCAGAGTTTTATGCATTCCCTGTGTACGGTGCGGAACTTCACCGAAGTGTGTTTGTGCGAGCGTATGCGTATGTGCGTGTGTGCACGGTGAGTTCCGCCACCGAGGCCACGCTGGTTATTGATCACATCGGTCCGATGCGGTCTGAACTGGGCTTCAGCGTGCAGCGGTTCCGCATGCCTCCACACACAGTTGTAGGCTGAGTTCTGAAGTACAGTCTCAACTCTCAGGAAACAGAGGACATAATCGGGACACCAGGTACTTTGTACAAGACCCGACCGCAGTTAGGGTTTTGTCGGCTTGCAAAAGAGGAAGGTCGTTGTGTGGCGGCTGGGAGACAGCCGCAAAGTCCAGGCTTGCAGATTCCAGAGCCTTTAGAAATCATGTCGATGACAATCTGCATTCGTGACAAAAAGGCAAAAAGTGCGCAGGTGCGACACAGAGTGTAAGTCGCAGCTGGGCGTTGAAGGCTGTCCGGGAGAAACTGCTGCTGTTGCTGCAGCTGTTTAGTTTGGATCGATGTTACTCCTGTCTATTGTTCATTACGTCGGGGAATTATTGCAGTAGAACATAATAAGTAGGCCTGCTAGGTTGAACAGAAAAGCATTGAGCGTTTTCTAACCAAAAGTGCAGCTTTTTTAAATTTGCAAATCCCTAAGTATATTTTTTTTTTGGGTAAAATTGTGGATCCCAAGGAAGAAGAAGACCATACACAGACCTTAGGGGAGACTGGGGAGAAGTGGGCCATTATTTTGACAACAACTTTGAAAATTCGTAAAAATAGGATATTAAAAATTTAAGTAAATTGATTGCATTTGTTGGTAAATGGTTTATTTCACCTTCATTCTTTACTGTTTTTTTTTTGCGTGTTTCTTCGCGTGTTGATTCTCAAATTTGAATTTTAGGAAAAGTTGAAAATGGGGTGAACTGGGACACGTCCAGGAGAAGTGGGACAGATAGTGGGGAAAACTGGGACTGACCAAGAAATGCGATATAAATGGAATACAACTAAAATTTCATGACCCATCACGAAGAAGGTGTTTTAAAAAATGACACTTTAAGAAATCACCTCGATTATCTTTAATTTGAACTACCCTGACAGCACTGAGTATCCTGGAAATATTCCCATGCATTTGCATGCGGGAGAACTGGGACAAGGTTTAGGCACATTGTCCCAGTTCTCCCCGAGTCGTCATTTTTTATTTCCACTGTCTCCCACACAAAAAGTATAATAGATACATTAAAAAATGTTTCTGCATAACTAAGATGACTTCACTGACATCCGAAGGTGAACGGCCTAAACATTTCACAACGCTGAATAAACGGCAAATTGAATTAGAGTACAATGCCCAAAAAACGTATTTTAGACCCCAACTCAATATCTCAGAGACAGGCAACCGGAAAAGGGAACCGCTTGGTTGTGACGTGCCCCGACTAAATTCATGAGAAAATATGCAAAAACGAAATTGTTTGTCCAATTGGTCATCCAGATATTGTAGGTGTCCACTTCTCCCCCGTCCCAGTTATCCCCACTCTCCCTTGGCATAACGCAGGGTAGTTTATTTCTTTTATTAACTGCCTAATGACCCGCAAACGTCAGTTTACGATGCTCCTTTCAGGAAGTTATCACTTTATTATTTTTACATTCCAGTTTATTCACATTTTTGTCAACAGATTCAGGTCAACTGACTTCCATCGACCGGTTACTTTTGAAACATTTCATCGCTCTTTAGTTAAACTTTCGCGGAATCCATCAATCAACCGATTCCGAAATGACTTGTGTTGCGGTCGAAGCATTCATTGACATCGACGCGTGGCCATATCTTGAATAGTGATACAATGTCTAGGGTAAAAAAACCTTAACCGCGGGAGGTGCGTATAGGCAATTCAGCTGCAATCTTTTTCGGGATTCACAATAGCCATCAGGAAAATAACATCGCACAAAGCGCATTGTGCGGCTTACCTCTGCACAGTCGCAACGCAGTAACGCATACCAAACACTGCAAATGCACGGCTTTATACAAAGCTAGGTTTGGTAGAATGCCACGATGTCACGCTGGTCTGTGCAGAGTTCTACACACCTCCCAAACGTCCCCACACCGCCAACGGGCACCGTCAGCTCAGATCGATCTCAGCCGTCCGCGGATGACGGCGCCGCCGACCGATGACGCTCGATGACGTCCAGTGACGGACGTAATGAGGCGTGCAGCGCGATAGCCGTGTCGACCGTGCTAAGGCCCGGTTCCCACCGGACTGGACCGGTGCAGACCAGAGCCAGACCACAGCTGCCGGTCGCTAATCACCACGAGCACAGGGTGCAGTGGCAGCGTCATATGTAAAATACTTTCAATATAGGTGTGTGGTGGGATAGGAAATTTGTGTGCAATATCCCTACTTAATTGCTGATTGGCCATGAAAAATTATTCTGAATATTTTTTACTTTTTGAGCTCTGGATTGATACTTCGTGAAGGCTTGATTTTAACACACCTTATGCTGTTTCTTACTTTTGTGCAATCATTGTTTGTATATTACAAAATAATATTTGAATGTAATTGATGAACATTTTATGCAGACACAATTCCTCCCACGGGCCGTGATATGAGCACATCTGAGCCTTTTGTAAATGTCCCGATTGTCTGCGTCCAGACGGCCACATGAGACGGATATGGACTGGGCCCGGGAACCGTTCAGATGTGGACTGGGTCGTTGGGACGACTAATGCCCCGATAAACCAGCTCAGCAGATCCGTCATCTCACCAATCATGTCATTATGGGTTTCCGGTCCATTCTACCCGCCTCCCTGATCTCCATTGGGGAAACGGTAAGCCGCGGAATAATAAAAAGTAGGACGGGGCTCTCCCGACGCAACAGGGTGGTTCCCTCTCAACAAGACACCAGGGTAAAAAGAGTTGCTAGCAAGCTCCGCAGGAAGCTGGTAACTGCATCTTCACTGCAGCGGGTTTCGCTCTCAGAAACAGCTCGAACCCGGAATTGAAATGTCCTCCCCCTAACCATCCCCCTTCCCTGGGCCTCGACCTTTTGCCGCTTCTCGTTCGCCCTTCCCCTCCAGCCCACCTAAACTGTCCGCCCTCGCCCTTCCCCTCCAGCCCACCTAAACTGTCCGCCCTCGCCCTTCCCCTCCAGCCCACCTAAACTGTCTCCTCGCCCTTCCCCTCCAGCCCACCTAAACTGACCCCCTCGCCCGTCCCCTCCAGCCCACCTAAACTGTCTCCTCGCCCTTCCCCTCCAGCCCACCTGAACTGTCTCCTCGCCCTTCCCCTACAGCCCACCTAAACTGTCCGCCCTCGCCCTTCCCCTCCAGCCCACCTAAACTGTCTCCTCGCCCTTCCCCTCCAGCCCACCTAAACTGTCCGCCCTCGCCCTTCCCCTCCAGCCCACCTGAACTGTCCCCCTCGCCCGTCCCCTCCAGCCCACCTAAACTGTCAGCTAAGATTGGCTCGGTAGCGGCCGTCCCGGTCCCGGATTGGATGGCTTACGGTCATGATTGCTTTACGACAGGCCTCGGGCTACACGCTAACAATGTCTTATTGCCACCCTGAAATGGTGGGAAACAAATGGATTGGAATTTGGAAGGAAGGGATCTCGGCGTTCGTCGTGTGGGAGTAGCAATTTCTGGAGTACGCAGGCGATAATGGGTCAGATTATAGGACAGGCGTAATTGCCGGTCGGATTATATTGAAAAGGGTGAAAGTCTAGCGCTAAATGCTACATCGATGTAAAAATGATGAGTGTTCCATGGACGCAGTCCAACGTAAAAGAAGGTCCAGGTCCTATGAGAAGGGCTTGAGTGGAACTGAATTATCGTCTTTCCGTCCTTCATTTACATGTATCGCTCATTTATCCTCATCCGGTGTACACTGTACACTACTGCAACTACAACCTCCTTCCTCAATCCTTACCTGAGAGTCCAGTCTGGCCATTTGGGCCCTGAGTCGCTCCGTTTGTTCCGTCTGCCGTCCGTTCCCTCCGGCCTCCGCCACCTGCAGTGAGAGACGCACTGGTGATGACACACCACTGACACTGACACTGACACTGACACTGACACTGACAATGACACTGACACTGACTCTGACACCGAAATAGAGACCGACACTGATGTCAGTAATGACGGTAACTCCCACCGATCTCAGCTATCTCCCGAGTCCTGTCTAGTATTCAACTCCATGTCCGAAGGGAAAGGAGAGGTGATGTTGATAGACTAGTGCCACTAGTGCTGTGACACCAAGACACTGGAGCGCTGCCGCAGAAACGGACCATAAACATTGAGCAGTTTCGAAAAGTGTCGTTGATATTCAAGCCACTAGCAGCAGTCTCGAAAAGCTGTCGTTGATATTCAAGCCGCTAGCGTAATAGACGTTAAGTATGTGTGGCAAGTCACTGACTGAACTGGCACTTTAGGGAAGATGAGCTGGGAGTCATTGGGCCGACTCACGGACGGAACTCACGGAGGTTACTGTCACGAAGTTCGGGGTCACGCTGCTAGTCACGGGCAGTGTCACAAGTTTGGCCACTTGCTGGGTCACGCGTAGAATCACGGGCTCGATCACGAGTTGTGTCACGCGTGCAAAATTAATCGACCTCCAATTCCCCACTGCACACCTGGTGCACTTCAGAAATCCCAAGGAAATGGGTACAAAGCTGTTCGGAAACCACCCAACAAGAGCACCTCCGGACGATGTCCGAAGTTCTCGGTCCGCGTTCACAGGCTGTCAAATTCATGGGGCCATGGGGACCGAGCAATAAACCCTTCGAACCCTGGTTTCAGTCTTCCCTGACAGCAGGAAGTGCAGACAACTTGTTGAAACTTTAGCGCTTTCTTGGACATGATAAAGTCCGTAAAAGCGTCAATTAGGATAATGCTCATCTAATGACTTCATCACATCCCGTGCAGTTTCTGGAGCGACTCATACGATCGCGGAGTCACGAGGAATTCGCAGCTGGATGAAGATATCGTCCTCAAAAGTTTGTCACTAATGCGACAAGGCGGATGCAGCGAAGTTTTATTTAATGACTCGTATGACACGCCGATGACACTTAGTAAGACTGACAGTGAGCTGATTGGTATGGAGATCCTGGAATACGGCTGGTGATGAATTCACTGGAACTTGTATTTATTTTTGTTCATTTAAAACAGCATGCAGTGACATAAAACACTGTTCAGTATTTGCAATTAGTTTTATTGGTACTGTTACAGAACAAAATCGCAGCCACTCCACTGCTCCTAACAGACAACCACGATCCCATGGTGTGATATGAAGCAGGCTTCTTCGATCCAGTAGGCCCTACACTCTACAGTACGTTCCCCTGTCCAGAATTCCGTATCGTATGTACCTCGGCGGTGCCAGGGGAGGCACCGCTCCGGCGCAGCTACCGTCGCAGCCCCGAGGGACCCCTCCAATCCATCGGCGCCATCGACGGCACTCGTTGTCGCTTATTGGCAGCTTCCTCCCCCTAGGTCTCCACCCCTCCCCATCTATGCTCTCCCTAGCAAGGTCTCCTTCTCCTCACTTTCCCTAGAACTTCGTTCCCCCACATCTTCGCTCCAGCTCTCCTCCTCTAACTATACTTCTCTACTCCTCCCCAATCATCCGCGGCTCCCCAGCTTCGTGCCATTTTTTAGCAGTCCGGCCCGCGTGTCATCCATGCCTTCCCTTGGTCTCCAAAAAGGCCCAAGTCAGCTGCAGACTCTCCAACTTTCCGTAGCTCCGATCGTATCTGTCGAATCGCCCGAGCTCCCCTAGCGCCCCATCTTCTGGAAGAACCAGACCTACTTATGTATATCCATCGTCCATGTCGCATCCGACAATGCGCTGTCTGGCCGGCAATCATGACAAGGGACACCATCCCATGACGGCTGAGACGCTACTGACGTCGAGCTCAATCATTGTCATCTGCCGTTGTGATGCGGTCACCTTACCTTTGATGTGCGTACGCCGATATATGCGGATAATTACTTGAGGTGGTAACGTATTGGTCATGCTAAGCCAACATGCAGTACGGGGGACTACTAACGGAACCGTAGATATACGAGTACGATGCCACGCACAAACCTGCCAGTGGCAGCGAGGGCACTGAAGGCGCGTCGGTAGCACGGAAGACGCAAATAGCACGCATGGTACGGATGGCACCAATGACCTCGATGACACTATCACACGATGGCATAATCATAGTGCATCGATGCCATCGCAACGACACGTCACCGCGGCTGTGACGACGGCGGTGCAGAAATAGTGACCCAGTGTCAACAGTGCCACCACGCCAGCCTTGTGTGTGCTGTGCTGAGTGGGTGCCATTAGGAGACCCCAGTTAGCCTGGGAAGTCTGGGAGACCCCAGTAGGCGGTGCAGCGGACTCCAGACCGCTTCCTGATTGCGCCCTGGACAGCTTGCAGGGGGTAGATGTCCTCGGTGAACCACAGTCGCTCCCGGGCTTCATCTCAGGAAATGGTGCGAGCTGAATGTGGCAAACTTGAGCCCAGCAGTGCCGGGTCGGTCTCGTATCAGATTGAGTTCGCCTGGGTACTTGGAGCATATGGTCTTGTATATGCTGCAGTTATACATGTATCCAGTGCGCAAAGAAAACGAGCAAAATAAATCGTGTTTGTCCATTCGGTACAGGATTGAGAAATATTCCATCTGGTTAACTTCGCAGATTTCTCTCGGGACATCTTCTTCCACGCTCGTGCAGCAAAGTTGGTTGAAGACCTGAGAGATGGTTCATTAAATAAGGGGGCCGCTCGGTTCAGGGAGTCGGCCGGCTGTCTGCTTTGGTCTTCAGGTACGCGCCCAGCCCGTCACGGCAGCAATGTCACGGCGAGTGACGCCTTCCAGACGTGGCGATCGTTACCAAGTCACGGCGCGTCACAGGCGGCACGCGGCACGCCAACCAGACATGCCACAGACCCATTGGATCTCCAAGACGACGCCAACCCGCCGCGCTGGTCTCATTCCTCGTGAAAACCCGCCGCCACCGAGCCTGTCCGTCGTACGACGCCCCAGCGCGTCCCATGTCCGCCTGCCGGAACGCATGCTGGTGTTTACTGGGTCAGTGTGCACCTGGAGCAAGTCACAGCCGCCGAGAAAGTGGTGCCACCGTGCAGTTAGTGCAGGCACGTGCACGGTCGCCGCCCTGGCCTGCGGTCATCGCGAGCGATGGGATACTGTGCGCAGAGTCCGGTTTCCAACCGGTACTCGTGGGTTTCGCTTGGTGCTCGCCGGGTTTCAATTAAAGGAGTGTCGTTCGGTGTTTTGTTTGCGTTATGGTCAGACCGGAACGCATTTATGTGGCTGAACTCCATCATAATAATTAAACGTCGCGAGCTTTTGTCGCGGCGGCCAACTGCCACGAAATGCCGGCCATTTCAACAACATACGCCCCAAATGTAATCATAGAGGGACAAAGCAATCGCACTCGCGGATCGTTCTGCATTTAAATTGCCGGTTTTCGTTGATGTAGTTCGCAGTTGTTGCGACCGTTTTGCAGCACTGAGCACGTCCGTGGAGCATCGATGGACCCTGCTGGACCGGCGGTGAGAGCGTGCACAGCGGCCGTGACGCTCTCACAAAACCGAACCTTATCTCTCGGACGGGAAGGAATGTGAGCATCAATACATCCAGGCGTGAAAAGCGGCGCGCTCTTCGCCGCACGAGCACCACTGAACTGCAGAGTTGTTGATGGCGATAACGTCATTCATCATTATTGATTTCAAGTCGATGGCGAAGTGCCATCGAAATCGTTCAATGTATACGTATTGCACAGTCAGTGTTGGATGAAGTGGCAACAATGTGTTGTTCGATCAGCTATGCTTCGTCTGTATGCTTCGTCTGTCCGTGCCAGACGAAGCTGGACGATTTCCATCGACATTTCACATTCTGCCCGGTATGATGCATCGATGCAATTTCACGCGAGTTGCTCTAGCACTCTCTTGGGACTTGTGAGAGGAGATTCAGGCCAGATGCAGCCTATGCTCATGCAATGTGTATACATGTAGTTGATTGGATCCGTTGCATGAAGGGTATACTAGGTAATGATATGACCCGTGTCGAGTCAGCCTCAGGGCATCATCAACACCAACAGGCGGGGTCAGGGGATCAGAAGCTATAGTATGGATCAGGATCAGGATCAATGCCCGGCCAGGGTTGGATTGTGGCCAGGCAAGGGTAAGAGCCACAGTCGTAATTAGATCTACAGCCAAGATCAGGGTTAGGTAAAGTCAGGACTTTGGGTTCAGTCATCGCGTCACCTAACGTTTTGTCCACTTGACTTATGACGCGGTCCCGGGACGAGGCTACGGTTTTGCCCACGTCATGTCAGAGAGTTAAACTTTCCAATGTCTTTTAACTCTTCCAAACTGACTACTGATGCGGTTCCGTGCGGCAGCAGTCAGGTCAGGTCGAGGTCAGGTCAGCTCAGATCAGTACTCACCGCTCTGTCCAGCTGACGACTGACGCGATCCCGGGCGGCAGCGGCTGCGGCAGCCTGACGCCGCAACTGAATCAGTAGCAACACCAGCTCCTCGTTGGTGCGGCCCAGCAGGTCACCCGCCTTCAGGTCCGAGATGAAACCCGCCTCGCCGTTCTGCAACAAAGGACGGGTTATGTCACTAAAGGCTCCCGGGTAAATCCAAATGAATACACAAACGAGGACGCCATTCTATGTTACCGGAAATGAAAAAGCGAAATGCTTTTTTACACTGAAAAAGTTTTTTTACACTGAATTTTTTTTTGACAATATATATTCTTATCAAGTGGGTGCATTTCCTTTTTTCTTCCGTCTTTTTTATTGTAACTCCTTCAACACATCTGAGACAAGCCTTTCCTCCCATTTATGTTCTATCTCCCGCTTAGTTATTCTCTCTCTCTCGCGCTCTCTCTCTCTCTCTCTCTCTCTCTCTCTCTCTCTCTCTCTCTCTCTCTCTCTCTCTCTCTCTCTCTCTCTCTCTCTCTCTCTCTCTATCTCTCCTTCTCTCCCTCCATCGCTCCCTCCTCCTTCTCTCCGTCCCTCTTTCCGTCCTTCCCTCCGTCTTCACGTTTTCCAGCGTCCTTTCATTGCAGCTCGTGTCAACGTCGCAAACCGAATCAGCTCTGTAGCGCGGCTGTAGAAATGCTCTCTCTCAGTCGCCATTGAACACGGCGCTATGACGGGAACATTCCTAGTGCCGAGAAAGCTCACCGTTTTCCGGCTTTACAAGCAGCTTATGGAGCCAGTGAGGCGAGCAGCCAGCTCGATACGATCCGCGCAACAGAGCCCGAATAAAACGGCAGCTGCTTCTGGGAGAGGCAAAAGCCAGCTGAAAAGAAACGCCGCTGAGGATATGTAGGAGGGCAAATATAGGATGACGAAACAAGATATAAGGCCGTTTTTATTAACACGATGTTAATTTATGATTGGGGTACACTTCGCAAATATAACACTGACTTTTTAGACCCTTTGGTGCCTCTTTACATATAGTTATCAAGACCTTTTGATTTTATGACGTTTGGGATACAATACACAAAATCATACAATGTCGCAGATTGAGCACGAGTGTCTCATTGCCGATTCTTCTTGCGAATTTTCGGTTAAATTGCGTCGTTTGTGGCGGTTCGGGTCGAATACATTGCTCTCGATTTCCCTGGGAATTCTAGTCGCTGTCACATATGGATTTGTGGCACATTGCCTTCATCATTCTCACTCAATCCCCCTCTCTCTGTCTTCCTCTGCTCTCTTCCTTCTCTCTCCGTCTCTCTCTTCTCCCCTCTCCTCTGCCTCTCTTGTTTCTCTCTTCCTTCTCCTTCCCTACCCTTCTCAGTTCTCTTTCTCTTTACCTTCTTCCTCCCTCCCACCCTCCCTCCCTACCTCCTCTTTTCACCTTCCTCTATCTCCCATTTCCCTTTCTCTCATCACCTCCTCTCTCAGAGATGACCGCTCTTTCTCCGCATGCCGTCGTACCGCCGCGTGCCGCCCCTCTGATGACAAACAATTTCCCACTTCTGAAACAGCCACCAACCCACGCCACCCCGAGGATGCCAACAGGGCTCCATTCACCTTCTGCCAGTCCCAGCTTTCACAAACGCTGAGCACGGGCCATAAACAGAGGACCTGACTGGGCCGCCAGCGTGTCAGCTACAAGTGTCTGAGTTGAGTTCCAGTTGAGCTGAGCTGAGTTTACCGGCGTCTGAGGCTTCCCCCAGACGTCACGCCGACTCCCGCGGGTGCACCTTCTGCTGTATTCTAATCCATACCAGCGCGTCAGAGAATATCCTGCCTCCCTACATATGTAGAGGCGTAGTGTAAGTGTAGCTGTACCGTGCAGACGGAACCCTCCCGGGGACGCGGGGCTGGTGGAGGACGGACGGCCGTGGAGGTCGGGGACTCGGGAGTGGTCGATAGCCGCCGTACCGCCGTATCGCCGTGCTGGCGTGCTGGCGTGCACGTCGCCGGCCCCGCTGCAATATTGACCTGGCTGGCCGACTGACCTCGAGGAGGGGGGGGCGAGGGGGGCTGAGGACCACCCCAGGTCGTTAGGCCAGTTGAGAGGAGCCTGAGACAAAGGTAAGATCCCTGAGGCGCTCGATAGAGAGACCGTGCCTGCAGAGGACGAGAGCCAAAGGCATGGAAAGAGCTTTGAGGAGGGTAAAGGGGTCCTGGAGAAAGGAATTAGCAATGGTATGGAAATGTAGGTCGACTTCAAACCTCACTTGAAGGTCGAAGGAGGGTGCATCTTGGGTTTATTCTGTTCGGTTTATGCTGAAGTAAAGGAGCAGGGACAGTTCTGAATGATTAGTGAATGACCATTACTTAAACCGTTTAATTGAAGTGGCAACTTCCAATTAAATTTTACGTAACTGGTATCTTGGGTCGTCAATTTAAAAATCTAGTGCCCAATCAATAAGCTTTCAAAATGGGGGCTTCGCCACCACATAAATATGACTGATGCTCTCTAGGTGACGGTGAGTAACTTCTGTCACGCACGGATCGCTAGCCGTATAATATGCACTCGTATAGGTCCACCTCATGTGTCATATCCGGTTATTTGTCTTCGGTATCGACGTGCAACCCATGAGGAAGTAATAAGCTTTCAATATAACGACGTGGCAAACACAGACGAATTTGCGCACCACCTTTGACCTGTCTACCAGACTATTGGTTTGAAACAATGTCCGACTATTGACCGGAACCTGCGAGCCATCGAACTTCATTCTGCAGCGGGTGAACATAACTAATCGCAATCCAGTCGTGTAATGCGTTACAAACGTGAATTAGTAACAGCAGGTACGTAATTTAGAAATACGCCCTGGCTGCATAGTGCATAACTCACCGGAGACTTGCAGAATGAGTTACAACTAGACAGCCGTCGTAGTGAAGTGTGACCCATTTCCAGCTCGGCGACACCACAGTAGTAACGGCTGGTGTTGTGGGACATACGCCCTGGCGATGGCAGCAGCGGTGCGCTTCGAACCAGACCAGGGGAGTTTTATTGATAAGGTATATGTTTTGTGCATGCTCATTGCTCAGTATTCGGTCTGCAACAAACGTATTGGATGTGGACTACTGTCAGGTTATTTCAGCTCGGATGGGGAAGCATCCAAACAATTGCAGTAATTGGTGCGCAGTGAGCACAATAGGTTATGAATTGTGATTTTTTTTAAAAATATGATGGCTGATCAGACACATGTAAGACAGTGAGGCGATCATTCATTTGAATGTCATCAATCTTGGCGAAGCAAACCTTGAATGACTTGATGCCTGATTTGCTCCGTACCAAGGTGTACCAGAAACCAAAAACCGAAACTATATTTACATAGACAAGCTGGATTTTCGACGTCTTCATCAACTAACCAGGCACTTGTTAGAAGAAACAGGTATCTGATAAATAATGTATTAGTAAAACTCTACAAGCAATAGTAAAGGTGTCAGTATAAGTTAAGAAATTTCAAATTTTAGTTAAACCAGCATTGCAACAGTTTAGTGTCCCTGATCTGACCGTGAAACTGGTTGCATTGTGAAGAATGTCTCGCGCACGGACAGTCCAAAATGTACCGTTATACCGGTAAACAAAGGAGAAGATTGCAATCAAGACATTTCTCCGGATATTCTCTCCAACCTTTGAATTGTCTTCTTGAATGTAAACAATGCAAAAACATCCTCAGAAGTTCCTTGTTTTGATTCATTCGGAGCGTGAAGGATAGCTTGAAGATTGCCTACTGACCGCAAAGAATTCAATTAATCAAGAGTCATCTCTCAAAAGCAAACTGAACAATGGACACTAATGAGTCAACAAAAGAAGCCAAGTGGTCGGCTGAATAGACGTGCAGTCTTCACATAATTATGCAACGGTAAATGCCTATCAAATACAAACAATTCATTTATTAGCAAATACTTTGTTTCAACTAAGCTGCAGTTACACAGAGCTATAGCCAGGTCAATGCATTCATGCATTAAACAGCATGCCATAAAGAACGGTCGAATGGGTACCAAACAGGTGCTTCGCCTTTATCATCGAACATATGTTCACCAACGCATGGGGCACTCATGCTCCGTATATGAATACTTATTCAAGTTCCACCAGACACAGACTTCACTGCGCTCATTGTGAATCAAACGAACTATCATAAACCTACTCTGCATTAGAGCCAATGTGCTCCTCTTTCCACACATGTTGGCTTCCGTCAACGCGACGCGCGCCTAATACTAATGCACCCGATGCACGCAAACCAAACAAAAGCTATTGCCTGTGTACTCAATGCGCCGAAACTCTCTCATTCAGCCCCGACTAACGCTTATTGAGCTCACGCGAACAGCACACAGGCGACATTCTCTCGCTGCGTGTGTTGAGACTGTGGTTGTAGATTGCGCTGTATGTTTGCAGTGTATGGACTGGCGTGCGGAGAGGAAATTACCGACAGCGCTACCCCATTGTCAACTGAGCAGGCAAGCCTTGATGCCTGACTCAGCTCACACCCCCGCCGCGGCGCCTCCGCCCGCCCACATATACCACAATGGAATGTGCCGGGGCCGGGGCAAGCGACAGCCGCCACCTTTCCGGCTGCCGATGGTGTGAAACACACTGCTCCTGGCTGTCGGATCTAATACAGCTCCGGGGGAGGGACGGGGGCGGCGGTAGAGGCAGCTGGACCGGGGCGGCGGCGACGCAGTGACCCCTCACGTCGGCCGCTCTCCGGCGATCCGCAGCTGTCGCCACCGACAGCCGGCGACCGGTCTGATTTATCAGCTGGCGCCGAGGCAATCATGGCGCGCGCCATATCGGAAACCGACCGGCGCGCCACTCCGGAAACACCGCCGGCCCGGCGCGGACGGGGTGGATGAGCTCTGCCGCCGCCCCCGCCGCCGCCCCCGCCGCCGCCCCCGCCGCCGCCCCCGCTGCCGCCCCCGCCCCCGCCATCGACGTCGCCATTGCTCCCACTGAGCGCAGGCAGACTCAGCCGGCCGCCCCGCCGCAGCCGGGCTTCTATTTTGCGTCGGAGTGACGTGTGAGCTCAGCGATTCCATGAGGCAGCTACCGGCTATGGCCTAGATCGACATTTAAGTCTGGAGCGACGACCTACTACGGTCGCCCCCGCCGCCCCCGCCGCCCC